TTTTGTTTCCTATTCTGACATCGGACTCGGACTTCTCTTTAACTGAGTTTTACTGTGCGTACTGTTGTACGTTTGTTTTTTCTACATTGGCTAGAGGTATAGGGGGAGGGTTGAGATCTCAAAAAAACATGTTTAACCCCGCCGCATTTTTGCGCCTGTCCCAAGTCAGGAGCCGCTGGCCTTTGTTAGTCTTGTATCATTTTTAATTTTAGTTTCTTGTGTATAATTTGGAGTTTAGTATGACGTCCATCATCACTGAACTAGCTAGTTTACATATTTGTTTAGGGGACAGCTGAAGGACGCCTCCGGGTGCGGGAGTTTCTCGCTGCATTGAAGACCCATTGGTGGCCTTCGGCTGTTGTCCTCTCTATGGGCGGGTTGTTGTCTCTTTGACACATTCCCTATTTCCATTCTCAATTTTATTCTAAAAGAGAGGAGAAAGGTATCAAAGTGATAATCAAACTCATAAGTCGAAAACGAACTGACAATGCTATGGCGAAAAAACGAAAAACGACCAAAAGGCAAACAATACAAAAATACGAAATAAAAAAAATTAAAACTGGGCAACACGAACTCCACCAAAACTCAAATGCTCGGGAAGGGAAAGCAGATCCTGCTTATATTTGGAACCAGTCTGGTTGGTCATGTTAGTACAAATGGCGATAAGTCTAATAGGCTATTTCTTGAACCATGTCTTTCACCGGAGAAGATCGTCAATTATGAACTCCCTTATGACGTCATTTACCTGATTGAAGGCGAACCTTTATTCCTGCACCTGCATTAAAGTTTCAAGCATCTTCAGGATCGTCATTCTGCAGGATAGTCTAGAAATAATTTATATTCCGTAGGTACATGATCTCAATGTCTCGTACGATTACGGGAGGGTTACCAGGTAATTAGATTTTTATTTCCCGAATATTTCGTGCAGTCATATCCAACTATCGCGGTCATCACGTGACTTTTACTAGTCAATTGTTTATCATTAATAGCCTATCGTTTTATCAATGAAAATGAATGGGCTACATAGAATAAACGATCGTAACTTTTTTTTTATACATTGTGTATTTTACCTTTCAACCCCGCGTTATAAAGATTTTTCTTATTTACAATTAAATATGCTCAATTTCAGTTCAAAAATATGATTTCTTGCTTCAAATAAAGTTTGAAAATCAAGGTGCCATAACCTCACAGCCTATGTTAACTTCTTCGATAACACTCGATAAAATTGCAATGGGACCTTTTTATATCTTCAATTTTCTCAACTTATTTGTTTTAAATAATATCCTTCCAACCCCTAAACAGGTCGACAATACATTTAATGCGAAGAATCCAAATCCAAATCAGTTTAGGTAAAAAACTTTTTGCTTCAAAATTTGATTGAAAAGTTCACATTTTGGAATTTGTTTGCAATATTTGAAAAAGTGGCGGCCGCTGTCGGAAGTAAACAACGACACGACGGGCTATGTATTCATTTAGTTATTAATTTTAAAGTTATATTTGAAATATTTTAAGTGTGTCTTATTGCTTTTGAGAAATTACTTATTCCACCTTCACTTTAGTATATTTATTAGAAAAACTCTCTCGCACACAAAATAAAGATTTATATCATCGATCCTGCATTGTTTACACTGACATCGTAACTCGACTTGTGAAAAGATATTTTGTAATATTTTTACGATGAAAATCAAATAACTTATGGATGCAAACGATTTCAGCCATTGCCTTACCTTTAAGCAGCATAAATTCAAACATTGTTTTCTTTTTGAGAGAATGGACACATTTTGTATGTTTTGATAAAATTTCGAAATTGCGATAAAAAAAATGGCGACTAATTAATTTTTAAACGTAGACGATCTTCGACATTTGTCTATGCAATAATTTAATTCAATTCCATTTTTTTCATTGCAATTAAATTTGACACCTAATTGTCATTCTTACAATACCCTTGTGCATAGCTAGATTAAGGAGATATAAAGTCATAGCACCGTCGTGATCAAAGAAAACAAACATGGCACCTGATCACGGTGTATGTTTTGACAAGACCTATGTAGTTTAGTTTTGTCCGATTCTTAATGAAATTATTTCATGATTTTATTTTAAATTGATAAAAGATAACCTCAAATGGATGTAAATAAAGGCAACAGTAGTATACCGCTGTTCGAAACTCATAAATCGATAGAGATAAAAACAAATCCGGGTTACAAACTAAAACTGAGGGAAACGCCTCAAATATAAGAGGAGAACAACGACACAACAAAAACACAACATTAAAATGTAACACACACACAGAAACGAACTATAATATAAAAATGGCCATTTTCCTGACTTGGTACAGGACATTTTAAGAAAAAAATGTTGGGTTGAACCTGGTTTTGTGGCATGCCAAACCTCCCGCTTTAATGGCAACGTCAAACACAACACCAAAACGACAACATCACATGACAGGATCACAATACAAATAAATGGGAGAACATATAGGACAAAGAAACACACGAATAATAGCTAACAAAAGGTACTAGGCTTAAAATTCAATACGCCAGACGTGCGTCTCGTCCGCACAGTGACGCTCAGATGAAAAAAGCTTGAAAGCCAAAACAAGTACAAAGCCGAAGAGCACCGAGGACCAAAACTTCCAAAATGTTGCGCCTAACACGGCCAGGGTTTTCTGCCTGGGACAAAAACATCCTTATTATTTAGAATAATTTATAATTTTGCAAACAGTAAATTTTATAAAATGACTATATAATAGATATAAATGATAAAACCGAAGTGGGGACTAACGACAGAATAAAAACGGATACATTACATAAAACAACTTAATCCAACATATAAAAATACACAGCCGAGTTAGCCAAAGCATCAACGCACAAAGTGACGTCACATTTGAAATTCTAAAAAAACACACAAAGTGACGTCACATCTGAATTTGTAAAAATATTTCCCAAAAATAAGATAGGATTAGGATTGATTCAAGATTAGATTTGTAATACTGACATTACATTTATTAATAAAAATGAAAATTACAATACTTATTAATATCAAATTGTGGTATTAATTAGATAATTAATTGTATTATCTAGCTATGTTGGTGTAAACTGAGGTCAAATGTATATACATTTTGATCACGTGGTGATGAAAGTCACATGACAGATATAACTAACTACCGTATCTCGGAACTGGCGTATTCGGTTGGTTACATTTGAGGAAAAGAGGGTGGGACTGTGATTAAGTCACTTGGAACATATCCGTCGTCATTTCGTGATGGCGTTCGGAAATTTTTCGAAGCAATGGTTTCAACTTATATAGGAACTCTCGGTTTAAGAGCTTCATTGTAAGCAGCAACCCTATATTAAGGAAATCGTGATAAAATATGCATTCTCTAGAAATCGAGAATATAATCCATATGCAGGCGCTGCTGGAATGATGCTTCATAAAAATGGAAAGTTTACAATTGGGAAGCTGAAATCATCTGTTTTGTTGTAAAGTTTAGTTCTCAACCGACCCTCATTATCAATTTCTAGATTAAGCCAAGATGTGAGGTTGACTTATCTAATACAGACACAAATAATAGTTCTTTTTCTATATTTGGATATTTCAGTATTACACGGGAAACTCTATACAAAATGTTACGACAAAAGAGTCGATTTTTCTTTCCCGATTGTTAACTTTTTCTTTTTGGAATGTGAGTTTCCTTTAGCACTTCTTACCGTGTGTTTATTTCACATATTGTTCGCTATGCCCGTGTTTGTAGTCGCGTTTTAGATTTCAGTGAACGTAATGTACATGTATGTATAACTGATAAAATATTAAGTCAGGGATTTCGTTAACACATATGAATTTAAACCTTTACCAAATTCTTTCATAGATACAAGATTTGGTTAGGAAGTTTGGCTGTACATGTACAAAAATTGGATATCACATCCTAAGCCCGCAAATTTAGATACGATCCATGTTAACTAATTTATCCTTTGCATAAACTTATTCTTAAAGGTTATCAATTTAATACAGTAGTATAATCTTTAAATATTGTTTTTATTGGTACTAACATTGATTTTGTTTCTGAAAAAATAAAACATAACTTAACATATATTGCTATATATGTACAGTCATGAGAACTCGTTATCCTACATCCTGTCGATAATGTTTACTTAAAGTTTGGCATTGCACAAGGTCATGCGTTTCTCAGACTGTTTATCACGTCTTACACTCAATCCGTTGCATGTGTACTGATTGGTACTTTAGTCGTGAAGAATATGATTTATTTACTAGATGTAATTGGCGTTGAATAAGCTTTCAGTAACTGCGAGTACTCTTATTTCGGTGCTTTGTGTCTGTTGTTTTTATGTTAGTTGTTTTTGTGCCTCGTACTGATATTTTGAGTTAAGCCAACTGCTACTGATTTTTTCAGTTTGTTCTTATGGTGTGCTGTTACACCACTCTCCCAGGTTAAAGGGAGGGTTGAGTGCTCACAAACATGTTTAACCCCGCCACATCCTTTATGTGCCTGTTGTATGTCAGGAGCCTGTAGTTCAGTGGTTGTCGTTGATTCAAGTATGTCATGTTTGTTTTTCGTGAATTGATTTGGTAAACATTAGGCATTTAGTTTTTCTCGTGAATTGTTTAACATTTTTCATGTCGGTGCCTTTCATAACCGACATTACAATAGTTTTTTCTCATTGATTAAGGCTGTACGGTTGACTATAATTGCTAAGATCCACTTTATTGGAACTTTGGTGGATTGTTTTTTCATTGGCAAGCATACGATCTCCTTATTTTTATATTAACTGTGTCTGTTGTATTGTTTATTTTCCCGAAAGTGACAAACTTAATTTTGTGTTTGTTATGTAACCGAAAATCAATTGTTATATAATCCTACGGTTGATTTTTTTTTTCAAATGACAACTCTATTTTGTCTTTTATGTCTTAATCTTTCGCCGTTTATGATTTCAAATGTATGAATTTAACGGTTTTTGCATAATGATCCATCTGTTGATTCATAGGAATTAGAGATGTTTATGACAAACTGCTTGGCAGCAGCCACTAAATCTGGTTTTAGTTCTATTGCTTTTCCTGCTTTGGGAACTGGAAACCTTGGGTATCCTAAGTCAGAGGTTGCACGAATGATGTTTTCCAACGTGGAAATGTTTGGACGCAATAATCCAAGTACTTCAATCACAGACGTTAGATTTGTAATTTACGAAAAGGACACTGAAGTTTTGAAGGTAATTCAAATTATCACAATACACGTTCAGTTGTAATTGAGTAGAATTATGAAAGAAACTTGTTGTTAAGCTGATGCCTTGGTTTCGAGTAAATAATGCATATCCGCGCTAAGATCATAGCTAACGTAAGTGTTTGTAAGCAATGTGTATGTCTATTCAAAATTAAAAAAAAAAGTTATTTAATAGTGGTAGGAATCATAAATTATGATTTAAGCAAACATATTGATGAACAAAATATAAAATAGTACATTCAAACTAACTTTCTTTGGCATTGGTGTTTACTTGAAGTCGAGATACATTATAGTACGTCTCCGATGTTATTATCTGCTTTACCACTGATATTGACTGGTTAAAAAGTATTTCAATGATTTGTTTTGTAATTTGCTAAGCCCTTGAGGAATTTGATTTTCATTTGATCTGAAACTCATAACAGTTGCTGATGAAAATCAAGAAACCAAATAAAGCAAAAATTAATAAAAAGGAATTTAAACGAATATTAAATTCCTTTCCAACAGTTACTTTACATTTAATTCATCGTTTCAGGCATTTGAAGATGAAAAACGGAATGGGAATCGTAGAAAGGACAAAAGCAAGAGTATGAATTTTTAAAAGTTATGATGTTATTTAGATCAATATATCTAAAAGATTTATATTTAAATTATTTCGGATGTTACACTTTTTTCATTTAATTGTTTTCCCTGTAGTTAAAGTGTTGTCTGTCCTTCTTTGACAACATTATTTCGACTTCTCATTTGGTGTTTTCTGTTTTATTATTTTTATTAAATATAATAAGTTACAAGCAATGATTCATTTTGTGCATTCATTGTATTCCTATGATCGTTTTACAAAAAAAAAATGTCACGTCGTTTATGAAAAGAAAAACTATCGCAACAAATATTTTCCTATTCACAGAATTTAGTACCTTTATACTAATATTGACCATGCTCAAATAAAAGATAGGCCACATAATCTCACTAAACTGGGCTTTTTTTTCAACAAGAATGGGAGTCGTAAATACGTACTCTTTGTTTTAATGAATGAAAAATCTCACTTTTATATATTACTATAACGTACGGTATTGGTTTTTCTCATTCTTTCATATTGTTAAGAGTTACACTGATTCAATTAACAAATACATCGAAGATGATATCAAAATGCTCGACTTTTTGATCGACAGCATAATTGTTGAATATTGTGGACCTATATTTCAACAGACAGTCGGTATTTCAATGGGATCTAATTGTAAACCCCCCTGCTGAACGACATGGTTTTGTACTCGCATAAAGCAAAATGCATACAGAACCATCTCAACGATGATAAAAAAAACATTTTGCAAGGTTCTTTTATTTCACTTTTAGATATATAAATTATATCCTGTCACTCAATAAGCAACGTTTCAGTGAGTGCTTGCATCTCATATATCCAAGTGCGATTAAGGATACTACCGAAAATAGAAGGTCTGCTTTATATCTTGATTTTTTTCCACGATGTTGGATGACGTCTTCAAACTAGGTAGTAAAGTACTAAACGAGTAGTCTTTAATTTTCCGTTTTTCAACTTCCCACTTCTCAGCAGTAACATACCCTCTGTCTCATCGTTTGGCGTTAATGTGTCTCAGTTAATAAATTACGCTCGAACATGGTCACACTATGTGTACTTCTTTAAAACAGGTGGGCTTCTTACACATAAAAAACAACTAGAATTGATGCTACATAAGTTTACGGTGACCTACACAAATTTATTAACCGATATGATGTGCCTGTGTCTCAATTCGCTGGAGACATGTTTTCACTGTCATTAATAATGGAACGCCAGAATAGTTGTCTGATCTTTTACTATTTCCGATGGTATCCTTTTGAATGCGTAAGTATTCACATGGCGGTGCATGATGCATGCATAAGAGAATAAGATAAACGGTTACCCTGTCGATGCATCCGGTTTCGCTACTTGTGGAGTTCATGCCATTCCCGCAGGTTTTGTTTCTTATCTTGATTTGTATCTTCTTAATCGATTGATGAGAGTTGAACATCGGTAAACAATTGGATTCTAACCTAAATGTCTATCCACCACTAGCAAACATTTTATTTTCAAAGAAGACAGCTATCTAATATTTGATTTTTTTTAAGAAAACAAACAAAAAGTCGAAGATCAAGAGATAAAATGGAACAGAGCTCTATGGATTTTGACCATGCAACTTTAAAAGTTTACCAAGGAGACATATGCGCACTAGATGTCAGCGCTATAGTGAATTGTACAAATGGAAAGTTCGTCTCAAAATCAGGTAGGCGTAATAAGAGTGATTAAAAAAGTATTAAAAATAGAAAAACCATGAGAAAAAAACTGCTATTAATCGAGCGTTGGAATAACTACAACTTTTTATGTTAGAGCCGATTATTTATTCTCAATATCATTGTTAACAGAGGTTTCTGACTGAAATTCGGTTAAGGAGCAGGCGGCTCAACCCGTTTCCTTGCATTAAGTTAAAAGCATACGAAACCGTAGATAAAGTAGATAACAATGGATAGAACTTTAACGCGTTGTCTTGCAACGTTGCCTATGAGAAGAATCCAAATTCGGGTGGAAAATACACAAACGGCACCATAAAATTGGAGGCAGATGAAAACGGTTTACTTTGCCATCAATACAAAATTCAACTAATGGCATGGCGATGATCTAAGAATACACTGCAACGTAATCTTACGCCAAAACAGGGAGGTCCAATTTCTAGCTTTTAAAATAACTTTTCTGTATTATCTTGAAAAAAATAATCACATGGAAGTAATTGTTATCAGTTGCAATCGATTGTGTCCTGCTTGAAGAAAAATCAACGGTAGATTTTTACTTTTTTAACTACATTTTATTTTTATTAATCAAATCTTGCTTGTCACAAAAATAATTAAGATTCCTGGCAAGAATGTAACAGGATAGGTCAAGAGTAAGCTTGTATTTTTTTATTGCATTTGCAGTGGCTATGAACTTGGTTATGGCTTACTATTAACAGTAATTTTTATGGTTTCATAACAAATTATATCGAATTCAACCTTCATTTTGGAAACATACTCAAAGGTCTATTTACTGAAAACAGTTTACAAAACAAACGGATAAAAAAATCTCTTTTTGTTTGAAATTTGTGTGTTTTTTTCTCAACAAGTATTGAAATATGTAATTTGATGTTTTTACCAGAAACATGCGTAAAACAAATTGAAATATCTCGAAAAGGAAGTCATGAATTCGTTGAGTATATCAAGAGTGCATATCAACATTGACTTTTGGCCCGTTTTTCATAGAAACATTAATGTAATAATTTGTATCTTATGCCCTTGTGAACCGTTGAACCGATGATTTTTCAAATCTTAATATGATGTAAATAAACTCATCATAGATACCACGATTAAAATTAGTGATGATAAAATGAAGGTCAGGTTTGATATTGACGATTTGGACTTCTGACGTTCTGGAATTATGATCCTTGATGGATTAGAAAATTACATTTTATGATATGTCAATTTCATACAATAACTTAAGAACCGTTCAACTGATGCTTTTCAAATGTGCGATGTGTTTTTATTGATTACATGATAAAGTTCAAGTTTGATACTGACAATTTTCTCTTTTATCGGTCAGGAGTTATGTACCCTGATTCATTAGAAAATGGTACTGTATGTCGTTTATGTGCAATAGGTTGAGGACCGTTTAAAACAATCTTTTCAAATTTTAATATGCAGTCACTGATTACAAAATTGATGTCAAGTTTGATGTTGACGATTTGCAGTTCAGGATCTATGGCTCCTTATTACTTTAACTATCACCAATAAATGTAATAAAACCCAGGTTTGCTAGCATTTCAAGTATTTTACCAGTATCAGAAAGAATACAATTAAAAACAATTGGATAATTCTTTTAATTTAGATAGAAATGTTGATAATGCGGAGATTATTGCAATACATAGTAAACAAAAGTATCATTCAAATATAATACAGACAAAACAGAACATTCAAATTCGGTTTAAGTAGTTCAAACATGAGTCTTTATTCTTTTAGAATCGGTATATGTTGTTTTTTAAAAAGCACATATACCTAATTTACAGAAACAAGCACATTTCTATGCCATTTATGTTACACAGGTAGCGTCAGCAATGTAATTATCAGTTATGGTGGAGATTCGCTGTCACGGGAATTAAAAACGCAAGGTATATAAAATGTATAAATTATACAAATCTAATCAAAAGTAAAATAACAAAAATACCGAACTCCAAGGAAAATTCAAAACGGAAAGTCCCTTATCAAATGGCAAAATCAAAATCTCAAACACATCAAACGAATGGACAATAACGGTCATATTCCTGACTTGGTACAGGCATTTCCTTATGTAGAAAAAGGTGGATTAAACCTGGTTTTATAGCTAAGTAAACCTCTCACTTGTAAGAAAATTTACTGAAAGCATAAATATAACACAAAAATAGCTTACAACTTTAAATGTGCCGTTAAGTTTAAATAAGAAGAAAGCTGGAACATTTTTTTTTGAAACATTCTACTTTTAAATGAAGGTAAACAATGAGAAAACTTCGCTGCACTTTCAAGATAATAAAACCCAACAAATCAAAATATCGGCAATTATGCATGGAAATGTGAGACTAAGAATGCACTGTTTCAAGAAAAATAAGCCAAAAACCACCAGCCATGAACAATCAGTGATAGATATCTTATACAGCCAATTCTGCACCATTTCAGTAACGATAAAATTTGAGTTTGTCCTAGATTACTTCTGAAAAGTCCGTTAGTAATAGCTATCCTTAGTACGTGACTGATTTTTCCTCATTTTTACTTCTGAAAAGTCCGTGAGTAATAGCTATCCTTAGTACGTGACTAATTTTTCCTCATTTTTACTTAACAACCCTTTATCTAGAAAGATCCTAAAGTATTTTGTTAAGGTTTTTGCATCAGAAATAACCCAGTAAAACACTTCGAGCGCTAAAATTAACTATGAATGATTTTCAAAAGGACAAAGAGAACATGATTTAACAATTATTTGAGTAACAGTTCATAAAACGATTAATGATATATTAAAAGCATTTATGGTGATAATCTTATATGAATTGAAGCTAAAAACATGAAGAAAGACAAAATTGCGATGACAACAGCAGGGCGTAATTTTGCAAGTGAGTTTATAATTCATTTGGATGTAGAGGACTCGTCATCGGATTTGAAATCAAAAATAAAATTGGTAATTGAAAAACTTGAGGAGTTTGATCAACACAGCGTTGCATTTCCAGCAAATGGTAAGTTTACTGAAGTAAATAATACGTATCAATTATATATCAAATTAAAATATCGAAAAATTGCTACTCGAATGCTGATAAAGGAAAAATGTTAAAAAAATCAGCCGACTATTGCGAAAAATAGAAAAAAATAGTCTGCATCCGTTTCTCAAAGCCTTCATTTAGATATAAAAAAAATATATTTTGGTGAAATTACAGGCTAGAGTCTTTTGTTATAAAACAAGATGTAGTATGAATGATAATGAGACAACTATCCAACAGAGTCCAAAAAAAGAGATGAGAAAGATGCCAAATGGACATACAGACTCAAATGAAGCGGATTTGAGCAATTATATGTGTCACCGTACGGCTTTCAACAATGAGCAAAACCCATACCGTATATTTGTAGTCAGCTATAAAAGGTCCCGACATGACTTGGGAAACAATTCAAACGAAAAATAACCCGGCATGATTTATGACAAAATAATTAATGAACAACAATATGACAGACAGCAACCAACGCAAAGCACTGAACAACGGGTTCATGACTTGTGATAAATACATATAGAATGTGGCCCTATTAAAACTGTTTGTGAGCGCTCAATTAGGCTCAACATGAGAAAGTGTTGTGACAGCACAACATAAGAACAAACTGTAAAAATCAGGCTGAAATGGCTTGACTCATCGGAAGCACAAAATGTAACAAATTGCATAAAGACAAAAGACACAAAGTGCCGATCTAAGAGAACTTGCTGTTACTGAAACAAAGTCAATTACAATAACAACTAATAAATAATTCATGTTCTCCAATACTAAGGCATTTGTACATTTTTTGTACATTTGCACATTATTCTGTCTCTTTTAGTTCACTGTTACTTTTTTTAAATGTTTTTGAATCCAGAACTTGGAGAGATCCAGAAGGTCTCAGCAGCATTTGTTGACGTTCTTCAAGACTTCAGTGGGAAAACCGATATTGATGTTCACATTGTCTTAAACGATGGAAATATGACACAAACATTTGTTACTTGCCTGGAAAGCAGCATGTCGGGTGATCAAAACCCATCCTTATTATCAAAATTTGCAGGATGGATAGGAATTGGTATGTCTATAATATATATACGTTTAGCAATTATTTGTAATAAAAGGGCAGTTTGATAAACCGGTGATGTGGGGTTCGGGTTGCTCAGTCTGCAGTTTTCTATTTTACGTTTTGTATACATTTTTTGTCTTTTGGTCGTTTAAGTTTTTTGCCATGGCGTGTGAGTTTTTTCGACTTATGTGAGTTTGAATTTCCCGTTTGTATCTTTTGCCTCTCTTATACAGTTAGAATATCATTGACTCCGTAATATTCTGTTAATTAAATGTAAGATTTTCAGTTTTTTATATCCCAATCAAAGATAACTTTAGCCAGAATTGAAAATAAAACTTTTTGTAATTTGTTTTTTTCATTGCTCTTTCACTTTTTAACTGATTTGGCCTGCCATCTCATTCAAACGCCATTGGTTATGCTTATATAGACGAAAATGCGTCTTACTTAATAAATTAAAAAGCTGGTATCTTTGGTGACTTCTTATATCATCATTTAGCAAAATAACATTTTGATTTTGTACGTGTAAAAAACTTATTAAAGATATCAGGCTATGTTTGACAATTTGAAGAACGAATCTGATTTATAAAGGAGTGCCTACTGTCGTTAAAATACTACGTCCCCAAACATCATAATCACTTTAATGTAGTCAATCAAATTGTTAAGCAGTATAATCTGCATTGAATTTCTGTGCTCGATTTATGCAAAATTTCTCGCTATTGAGTTACATTAGAAATGATTTGTCATTTTTACATGCAACGAGATACTTATTATTATTTGATGATTAAATGTGCATCTAATTTGGAATTTGATAGTATTTCATCTTAATGAATGAATATTATATATATGTTGATGACGATGAACGGACGACTGAATCAAGTTTATTAAAAATGCTGATATTGATACTCCGGGCCGGGTGAACTAAACAAAGTAAGAAAGACAAAAATTGTTAAATTAACACAATGGATTTAATACTTAGCTACTAATATCTATTAAGTTTATATTTTCCTATATTGTCCAATCAAAAACGATGGTATCCGGACAAGTTCTGAAAAATCAAATTGTAATTTATACCGTCATCTTCACTACCTACTACAATATGTTTTCATGGCATATATATGTTGATTTGAAATTTGCTTGATGTATAACATTTGAGCCCGGAGATCTCTTATTTTTACGTCAGTCATAGACGAGACGTATTATGATAAATTGTTGTCCTTTTGTCCGTCCTTCCTCACTTCATACAAAAGCTAGAGACTACTTTGATCAAATTTTGTAAAAATTGTATGACATAACATTTAATATTTCTGCACCAGAGGCGCATTTCAACAATGAATGTCTCTTAAATGATGCACGTGGCCAAAATATTTGAAAATCCAAAGCTTATTAACAAAAAGGAAGAGCTGATAAATCAAAAAGGACAAAAAAAAAAGTAGCCAAAGCCTGGCAATAAATCAAAGATTTGCATTAGGGCAATATATTCCTTAATTTAAAGTAATTTCCTAAATTTTGCAACATTAAATTTCAATAACACAAAATCCGTATTTTCATGCCAGTACCGATGATGCAAACTTTAATCTACGGAAGACAGCTCCCTTTAGATTTGAAAAAAAGTTTGTTTATTGCGCAGTAACTCGAGCAAGTCCAGATAGATTAACTTGAACATATACATTATTGTTGGGACTAGTACAGGTAACCATCTTTTTAATTTCGACTTTTATTTTTTGCATCTAGTTTAAGCTGTCAATTTTTTATGCGCCTGCAAATAGCCTTATGCAATTTTCTGGAGGTAATTTAAAGGACGTCCGATTTAATTCCTCCTACAAATTTATTTTTTATTCTTGCAAAAATATTTAAGGTGGTATGGGAGTATTGATTAAAAATGATAGAATTTGTTCATACTTTGTTAAAACGTAGTATATATTGGGATATGTCCAATAATATAATAAAAATGATAGGTCACCGAGCTTTTTCTCAAGCTACAGGTTGTGAAAAAATGTCACATTTTGTATGGATTATACAGGAAAAACATCATTATGTGAATAGAACCTAAACAAAATGATAGAATTGTAAAATAAAATACGAGTAGATAGCTTTCAAAAATGCTTTCAGAACATCAAAAGAAAAGATAGGTTCACCGTACGTTTTTTCCTGCTTAACCATAAAATAGCAAAATTTCATGTAGATTCCTTTAGAAAATGTACTATTTCAGAGTTACCTCCCCTCATTACGCCATTTCAAAAAACATTGAAAATCAAGCAAAAATAATCTACGTTTGTAAAAACATTAGTAATTATTAGTTAAATCTTATAAATTTGTTTATTTATAGAAAATTCACATTAGTAAATTGCATTTCTGCAGAAATTTTGCTGACTTGATTGAAAATTTGGACCTTGTTTCTCTACTATGTTACAATCCAAGATGGCGAAAGACACCCATACCAATTAATGTTTGTATATTTTTACTGCACTTGTGTAGCCGTGAATCAGATAGCATCAACCTTTCACTAAATTGTTTCAAATATAATGTCAACCTGCTACTAGAAGACATAGAAAAATGAAAATATACATGATGCTTATATGGTTGATAACAGTGACCAATGAGTTTTCTATTTTTGTTTGAAGTAACTAGATCCAAATCATACTCGAACTAGTATGATGCATGCGAAAATTGTCTTAAATCCGATACTTTGTGTCTTAAGTCTTATGTCTTATTTTTAGTTGTAATTTGTGTTTTGTGTCAATCTGATGAGTCAAGCCTTTTTTAACTGATTTTTACAATTTTTTCTCATGGTGTGCTCTCCCAGGTGAGGGGAGGATTGAGTGCTCACAAACATGTTTAATGCCGCTATATTATGTACGCCCAAGTCGGGAGCCTGCTTTAATTGTTTTATTTATTTTCATGTCAAACACTTTCATAGATTTCCATAAGGTATGGGATTTGCAAAATGTTGCAGACCTTACAGGACCTACAATTGCTGTCATCTAAGTCATTTGGTCACTGATGGGTAGTTGTCTCATTGGCAATCATACCAAATCTCCTTATTTTCATATTTTAAGAATGTTTGCTGGTATTGTCGATCATTGTATTGGGATACTTTAAGTTGCACTGGCTTTTTACTGGATTTAACAGCATTAAAAATGTTTTCCCAGGAACCCTACGTTTCTTATCATAATTTCATGTATTACATCTTAAAATATATCCCTGCAAACTCAGGTTAGATAATTGTTATTTTTTTAAAGGTTTTGACAGTGATAACATTTTTTAAAAAAAATATGTTAAAAATTAAAAGAACTCCTGTTTCCACCAAAATGTTTAATGTTATATTTCAAAAAATATGCATGTATTGCTGAATACAATGGGTCTTTCGACACAAAATGGTTAAACAGTACAGTGCAGGACATTTTCACACCTATCATTTCTTACACCTATCTTAAACCTATCGGGATGATATCCAACTGAAATTAAACCCCAAAAAAATGAAAATCTTTTTCAAAGAATGTTGAAAGTTTATCATTTCGATTGTTTACATCTTTTTCGATGGTCTTTTAAGTTAAATGCCGGAGTATGATTTTAGATGTTTTGTTTTTTTATATTCTTCGTAAGACTTGAGATTTTTTGTAGTTTTTTTGTATAAAATCAGATCTTAATATAATTACAATTTGTTTAAAATCGTGTGTATATTAACCCATAAGTTTTCATTTTAGGAGGGAAAACTCCAGTAAGGCAAAAACGCAATATCCAGATAAGTAACGTGAGCTTGAAAGCTATAGTCTATATCAAGGTGTTTGCTAAAACTGAACAAAGTGCTAAAAGCGCTATTACAGCTTTAGAAAATAGTCTAGAAAGCGCATTCCAGGAGAAAACTGTCGATGATGAATTGATAAAAGATTTATCAAGAACACAGGTATGAATGTCTTGTGAGTACAGGTTTATAATTTGATGTAGTGAGAGTTACACAGGTATTAAATCTTCTGAATAGGAGAACCTGCTTCTTGGGATCTTACAACCGCTACACTTATATATAGCTTTCATACAACAATGGCAGGTTTAAGTCTAAGTGAGAATAAATGCCATAAGTGATTCGATCATACAAAACTAAATGAGATATAAATAAAGAACATCAAAAGTTTTACAAGAATATTATATAGTACGAGTTGTCATTTTACTGAAAAGAAGATCTAAAGGACATTGCTTTTACCGGTTGACTTTGCTAGTTATAATTGAATACTATCTTTTATGTTTTTCTTTATTTAAATTCCTACAAATGAATCATAGTTGCATGAAAAGTCCTTAGAAATAAAACAAAATCAATATGAGGGAACCTCCGGAAAGTCCATCACAATAAGAGAAAGAAATGCTAAAATCAGTCATAAATTGACGTCTCGTTTGCCATTTTGGTTATAAAGCTCTTCAACTGTTTTAGATCTTTTTCATTCTTGGCTTTCAAATATTCGGCTTTGAGAGTTTCTGATAAAGGTAAATCCAGAAAAGCGCTTCGGAATCATGAAATTCATACATTATCATTTTAAAATTTTCAGTTTTTGGCAACCGATTATGTAAGATACATCCACGACCTCTTCTGGTATTAATTCAAATAAAGTGACAAATGTTACTTTGTTTTACATTTATTTTATTAAAAATGATTTCAAGCGTATAAATTTCTTCAATATGAAAAAAAGGAATGCAGTTTTTCAATTTGTTACACAAAATCCCTACACGCGTTTGAAAAAACCCAAAGCAATGAAACTTGGCTTTAATTTCTGTTGTTTTATATATAAAGTTGTGTTTCGTTATGTATTTTGGTTCTAATGCCATAAAATGCTATTCACAGCAGAGGAGACACTCATCTTTTATAATAGAAAGATGTGAGGTCTATAAGTAAACGGCAGAAGATACGAGGAGGAGGGATCAAAGAGAAAATAAAGGAAAAAATACAGACAACACCATTGCCAAAACGTAAAACAGCGACGAGACAGACAACTGTACATAAACTACATAGAAAACTTAAGGTTGATCAAGACAAGCCCCGCCGAAGCTCTAAGATTACTACATGTGCTCCGGAATGTTAAGCAGTTCCTGTTCCTGTTTTCAAAAAAAAATCATGCGTTTGGTTTTCTTTTTTGAATAAGAATTGTTTCACATTTTGGTAAGCCGTTGTCCTTTATAGCTGACTATCCGGTATTGATTTTGGATGATGTCATTTTTCAGAGATACTTTTCCTTGAAACAGATTGGTTTTATGAAAGTATGACTTTTCCGTTCCTAAAACCGAAGATATTTGATGCTAATTCGACCATCCTTTTTTATTTAAAATCATTTAATTTGACAGCATCAGACGTTTTAATTTTATATCCTTTTCGAATGGACCATTTCACAACTTTGCCTAGGAATGCATGACCCAAACCAAGCAAAGTTTTTACAGTTCGATTTCTGCCACCTCTCTTTTCCTTGCCCTGGTTGCTTCCGTTTTGTACATATATCTTGAGAAAGTGGATTGGGAAGGTGTATAGGGTAAAACTAAAAGTAATGCACTGTTCATATTAGGGGCTATATTTAGACATTAAAACAAACGATTCTTGAGCAAGTTGTTTTTGGTAACGTTGTTGATGAGGATTTATGACGATATGTTATTGTTTATGATGATGTTACATGATGATGTTACATGCATGTCATTTTTACGTTGTGCAACGTAAACATTGACATAACGTCATAGATCCTCCTCAACAACGTTACCAATAACAACGTCTCAGTTTTGACAAGTCTCTGCAGATGGATGAAAACGCTAGCCTCTAAAAGACATTTGAACTCGCTTACTATTTTTTTCATAATCTGCGTGCTACTATACATCATGTACTGTGTTACAACCCTTGATAAAGAGGAAAGGCATTACTCGACTGACGAAAGCTATATGTTTATATAGCCTGGTTGGTCGAGTGGTCTAAGGCTCTGGACACGGTGCAGGCAGTGTTGCCATGATGTCTCAGATGCATGGGTTCGAATCCCGCTAAGGGAAGAACATTAAATTCCAAACGCAAATTTTCAGATCTAACATTATTGGGCTAAATTTGAAACGAAGTATATATAACACAGGTTATCCGATGGAGAACGTCCGTCGTAAAGTTGTCACATATTTAGACGTATATATAAATATATAATATAGCACTTGGAGGAGCGATGTTCACGCTGAAGTGCGATGGTCACGATGAAATGCGATGATTTATATTACGCGTAAAGCATAGTTAAAAATCTAACGATTTTCAATTAGTATATAAATTGGCATTTTTATTGTCCATAAAACATTCATGAATTACGGTATCGATGATATAGTTGTGCATGGTTGAGATAAAATAATCTTTAAAAGAATTACCATTCTGCAATAAGCCTGTTTACTATATAAGTTTGAATTATTTGAAAATCGTATACTGTTTAAATATCCCTTGTTAGTACCCTGTTAATATTTTAGTGTCATCTTTACCCTTAATTTACATCTGTTTAAACGGTGTTTGCAACATTTGAAATACAAAAATTTATTTTATATTTTCAATGTCCTTAGTTACAGTTTTGTACTAAATGAGAGATTGTCCTCTTTTTAATTTTGCTACATGTGGACATATTTCTGGGTTGTTTAGTTTGTCCTTTACCGCTATATTATAATATGGAAAGTCTGTGTGCGGACCCGTATGCATTGAGATAATGCCATACTTCATCATATTGAGAGAAAAAAATAATTCGAAGACAAAAAAGGATCCGCTACAGTATCTCCTCTCTACCAATCAGTCCCTTTTCCCCCGTAGTATAAAAGTTTATAAATCCCTTTTTATCTTGTTCCTACGTGGAATATGCATTAAAATATATTTGCACCTGGAAATTGAACATCAGACATCCATCAATCTATTAATCTTTTTGTTTCACAAATAAGAGACTTGTGTTTAACGGTTAAAATGTCGATGATTTACTTATAAAGCAGAAAAACTGCCCTCTTCAAACAAATCGACTTCTGTATTGACATTTTAACGTTAAAAACATTAGTAATATCATCATGGTGTATGCAATCCATTGCACATCGGCGTACATTTCAACAAGAAGGCGTGCCAATGCCATCATCCCTAAGCGGGATTCGAACCCCTGTTTCTATGACATAGCACTGAGGGAATGACATAAATTTGCTGTCGCAAATTTGCAGATCTAACATTGGGTTAAATTAAAAACGCGGGGGATATGGATATATCGGGCGTCCGACCGTGTGTCCGTCCGTCCGTCCGGTCTTGTAAGCGCTCTCACGGGTACCATACATGCCAGATTTTTATTAAACTTATACTATAGGTTAATATCAGCAATATCTCTGCTAAACTTGTGTTTAACGGTAAAAATGTCGATGATTTACTTATAAAGCAGAAAAACTGCCCTCTTCAAACAAATTGACTTCTGTATTGACATTGTAACGTTAAAATCATTGGTAATATCATCATGGTGTATGCAATCCATTGCACATCGGCGTACATTTCAACAAGAAGGCGTGCCAATGCCATCATCCCTAAGCGGGATTCGAACCCCTGTTCTGTGACTTCGCACTGAGGGAATGACATACATTTGCTGTCGCAAACTTGCAGATCTAGCATTGAGTTAAATTAAAGACGCCGGGGATATGGATATACCAGGCGTCCGTCCGTCCGTCCGGTCTTGTAAGCGCTCTCACGGGTACCATTCTTGCCAGATTTTTATTAAACTTATACTATAGGTTAATATCAGCAATATCTCGAACAAGTTCTATAATGGCGGCCGATCAACTTTTTTATAAGAGTTATGACCCTTTGAAATATTAAATCTATGGAAAATGGCCTCGTTAGCGCTTTCACGGATACAATACTTGCCAGATTTTTATAAAACATACACTATAGGTTAATATCAGCAATATCTCGGACAAGTTCTATAATGGTGAACGATCGACTTTTTTAAAAGAGTTATGACCCTTTAAAATATTTAATTTATGGAAAATGGCCTCGTTAGCGCTCTCACGGGTACAATTTTTTATAAAACTTATAGTATATTATAAGTAATGCCCTTGAAGGTCTGTTTGAAATATTTAGTATACAATAAAAAAAAAAACTTTTTTGTCCCCTGCGCACGCTTTTTATTTATAAATTGTTTTAAAGAACAACAAATAAAAGTGGTTTTTTTTAATTATTCCCTCCTGGATAAATAAAATATGTGCAACGCAGGGGACATTGGATCTCTGTTCTTTTATTGAAGTTGTCACATCTTTAGACGCATATCCGGGAGTTCGAATATTTAGAGTAATTATGAATATGATATGTGTTTTCAGCAGTGTATCACCTTCACTGGTGATCCTATGGATGGATCTGTCATAATGTTGTCACTTTTTTAGACATACTTATCAAATAATTATTTCTGTGACTGTATCTTACGATAGATAATTTAGCTAATCTGCAATCAATTCCATCTTCATGCCATATATATCATGTACTGTGTTACAACTCTAGATTCTACTGACGAGGAAAGGTAACACTAGGCCACCGAAAGCAGAATTTTTAGTTCATTCTAGGTGGCCGAGTGGTCTAGAGCGCTGGACACGGTGTAGGCGGTGTTGTCTCGATATCCGAATAGTATGAGTTTGAATCCCGGCGATGGGAGAACTAAAACTTTCTTCCGCAAATTTGCAGATTTAACATTGTTGTATATATATATATATATATATATAATTGTCGAAATCCGGATATGGTATACAAAAATCTTTGCACCTTTTGTTTGCGGTATACCATCTTTGCCGCAAGTTTATTGTTTTCTGTTTGGTATTAATTTATAAATAAGATCCATTTATTACACCTGGTGATCCGTTTATTTGGCAATCGCCTATGGCAGTCGGCAGGGTTTAAGAACATTTGTTGTTCGACCTGTTAGTCAAATTCGTTTTGCTAAAATATACTTTTTCACTTTTTTGGTCTTTTGGAAAATGTTGTTTGTGCTGTATTTAGACCCCTCTAACAAGAAATTTATTTTGCATGCACACGTATAAAAATTGCGGTTTTTATCCAACGCAATCATAGGTTTGGACGTTGTTATCAATTTAGACTTGTTTATATTTTTTCGTTTGGGCTTGTATTATATTTGTCTTAGGGTTTATATGATCCGTTCATCCTATTTTGACTCCTCAAAATTCAAGAGTCTATCCTAAATTGAGGTAAATTGTTGGGCTTTCCAAATACCGTTTCGATTCCTAACATCACTGAAGAGACATTATTTGTCGAAATCCGGATATGGTGTACAAAAACCTTTGCACCTTTCGTTTGCGGTATATCATCTTCTCTGCAAGTTTATTATTTTCTGTTTAATATAAAAATTTAAAATTAAGATCCATTTATTACATCGGTGATCCGTTTATTTGGCAATCACCAATGGCAGTCAGCAGGATTTAAGAACATTTGTTGTTCGACCTGTTAGTCAAATGCGTTTTGTTAAAATATAATTTTTCTCTTTTTTGGTCTTTTGGTAAATGTTATTTGTGCTTTATTTAGACCCCTCTAACAAGAAATTTGTTTTGCATGCACACGTATAAAAATTGCGGTTTTTATCCAACGCAATCATAGGTTTGAACGTTGTTTTGAATTTAGACTTGTTTATATATATATGTGTGTGTGTGTGTTTGTTTTATGTCTTTTCGTCGTTACCCTTTTTGATCAAAGTATTGCCTGTTTTCTTCTACTTATGATTTTTGATTCTCCCATTTGATTCTGGCTTTTTTAATAAACTTTTTGAATTCAATTTGTAAATAAAATATTTTTTAATGTCAGATAGAAGATTTACAGCAAATACTAGGTGGTTCCGGTGTTGAAATATCACTGAAAAAGAACCTTGGTAGAATAAAGATAACAGGTTTGCCTGAAAATATTACACATGCTCTGCAAGAAATCTACACTTTCCTGAGAAGAACAGAAGAAATGCGTCATGCTGAGGAACATGCTAAATTTGTATCAGAAATGGTACAATGGTGTTATATGGAAGTAGACATTGATGGGGAAAAATTAATTGATTACCCAAGTCAGATAAATTTACTGCTGGAACAAGCAGTTAGGAATAACAAAGCAACAGCTGAATTTCACGATGACAAGGGAAACAAGTATATCGTTGATTTTAACAGCTATGAGGAATATTTGGAGAGCAAACCTTCAGAGGCTGTGAAGGTCATTCGAAGAAACAAACTATCAGGTAGAGTTTTTAGAATTCGTTAAGCAGAGATGATAGGAGTCCCAGTCTTAATTTTGATACCAAGGCAATTTATGCACAAACTTTAACAAATGCTTGTACAGCACGAGATTTATAACGCACCATTTTTATGCCCCCGCCGTAGCGGAGGGGGCATTAAGTGTTATCCTTGTCCGTCCTGTCCTTCCGTCCCGTCCTTCCGTCCCGTCCGTCTGTCCCATCCGTCCGTACGTCACCAAAATTGGTTTCCGTTCTCTAACTTTAGTTTGCCTCAACCAAATATTATCAAACTTATACACAATGTTTATTATCACAAAACACAGATCAAGCTTGAAAATGGGTGGCGTCACTTTTACCGTTAATGAGTTATGCCTCTTTATAAATGGAAAAATTGCTAAATCTGTCGTTTCCCTTCTCTAACTTTAGTTTGCCTCAACCAAATGTTATGAAACTTATACACAATGCTTATAATCCAAAACGGTCTTAAGTACGTAAATCTGCATCTGTATGTGGAAGTTGACTCATGCATATTTACAAGCGGGGGCATCTGTGGCCTATAGGCACATTCTCCATTTATGTTTTTATTATTTTTGTACCGCTTAGTTAGTCCTGTTAGTTTATGAGTGTTCTTATATCCCCCCAAAACAGCCGTCATTCATTAAAAGATTTATTATATACATGTTCACATAATAATTCACCCGACCGAATAATGTTATCACCTTTTGCTATCACGCGACTTGGCGTCCGTCGTCCGTTCTCCGTCTGCCGTTTGCAAACTTTTTTCAAAATCACTTCCACCGTAATCTTTGAAATCAAATTTGACAAGATTGATACTTAGGGTGTCTTAATTATAGATTATTATCTTCTTGGGGTCCCTCAACCAAAATGACTGCCATGAAAAAAAAATAAAACAACAAAGTGTTAAAAACAACTAATTGTTTAATATCTTGAAAACTGTTGTGATAGGGTAAATCTGACAGGAACACAAATACTCAATAATTCAAGAGATTTTGTTAATCCAACAAATCTGTCAGACAATTCTTTATTGTGTTATTGCCTTTTAATGGTAGTTTTTATGAACTTTAGTGTCTTTGAATATTACCTTGAAAACATAAATTGATAGTGAGAAACTGTAAATAGTAACACTTATTAACAAGAAAACTGAGATCTACAGATCACGTCAGTGGTTGACAATATTTTGATGAATGTTAAGTAGAAATTATTTGAATAGATTTTCAGGTAGATTGCTCCGAATTTTCAATCAACCTGTGACTGGGATGATGAAAAATGCATATTTTACTGTGATCTTGATTTTTGTAATAAATAACTATTTGGGGTTTTAACAGTGTTGCGAACAGAATCCCAAAAGATACTAAGTCAATGCTTGAGCTATATGGGAAAACTCTTAATAAGCTAAAAAAAAAAAAAAAAAAAAAAGGACTGTGCAAAATGTTTTCTGAAAATATGGATATATATTAAACAACATTTTATGGTACTGATCATTCATACCAAGTGTCACCTATATATATTTCTCTTCCTTATGGTCAAGTGCAGTGAATTTCAAACCAAACTTTTTATTACTTCTATTAATATTCAAACTTTCTGAATTAGGTTATTACACATTGTCATTTCTCTGTTGAAATGTAAAAAATGTCAAAGGAGAGCACAATTTGAACACTATGATAATTATATGTTTTGTGCAACAGCAAAGTGTTAAAAATTCAAATTGTATGGTAGATTACATATGTCAAAATATCCCAATGTAATTATAAACAGGAGAAGGGAACATTCGTTAGTTGTCTTTCTTTTTTTGTCATCTAGATACGTGCATTTAATGTTAATAAGAATACCAATGCTGAAAGCAATGATTAATAAAGGTTGATAAATCGTACATTAAGACTTTTTGTTCGACGTTGTGTGCTTACAAAAAAGTCAAAAATTGTATTATCTCTCAAATGTGGGTAGATACAATGCATTGTGTTATGTATCCATCACCCGAAAAGCTCAGTTTACATTCGTTATCAATTAGTACATATTCACAAACTCTTTTTCAGACGCATCCGGCTTGGCATTAGAAATGCCCTCAAACTGGAGTCCAATGGACGATAAGGAAAACATAAAACTAGTACTTCTTCAACAAACTGACCAGGAATATCTCGAAGTTCATCAAGAATTTACAAAAACTACTGGATCTGCACATAAGATTGTAAAGGTAATGCAGAAGTATATGTAACCGCAACCATTCCAATTGCAAACGGTCACAATAATTCGTAATGATAACGACAAAATCGACCACGAAACAACTTAGGATTGAAATAGCCTCTAACAAATGAATGACGATTAATCTCAAAGAAAAAAAAACCACTACAAGCCGATTTATTATTTTGTTTGTGAATTGTAGATTTCAAGAATTCAGAATCGTACGTTATATCAACAATACAAAGCAAAGAAAATGTCAATGGAATCATTAAATCCCCAAGGTCATCAAAACGAAAGAACGCTTTGGCACGGTACTGCATATGATGCTTTGGACAGTATCAATACATATGGGTTTAATAGGAGTTATTGTGGCAAAAATGGTAAGTACAGATACAATTCAATTATTCAAGTGATAAGATTTAACAATTTAAAATCTTGTAGTCTCTCGTTGTTTCTGGAGCCAAAATATATTTCCATGGGGTTAAATGATTTTACAGCATTTGTTTTATATCTTACGTAGTTGGCTTAATTACGGTGACAGTAGTTTACCGATGTTCAAATATCATACATTGTAAATGATTTAGAAACAGACAAATCAAGGTAGCAAATAGAAAATGAGAAAATCGCATGAACTCCAAAACAAGCGATACCGGGTGCATCGACAGTGTAAGAGTCTGATGTTATGCATGCATCACCTAAAACTGTAAGATTATCATAGTGAAATTGGGTAAGCCGCTGCACAGGCTTTTTGATGAAGTGATTATCAACATATAACGTTTGTCAATACCTCCATGGTATATATTTATGTCTTTTTTACTTGCTCTTAAATAGTAAAAAAGATCTCAAATATTTTTCATACATTTAACATTTATTTTGCTCAGTTTACGAACTAAGATTTACCACAAGTTATGAAAGGAATAACTTTATTGTTTATTACATTATTACACTGCGAAATTTATTATAGTTCTATTACCGTTGCATGCGCTTATGAAAAAGGACATGGTAGACCATTTATATTTTATTTCTGATGCCTTTACATTTAGATCTCATCCAGAATATAAATTTTGATCCCAACAGTCCTGATTTAATGACTTGGCAATATTAACATTGGTATTATGTGTTCTGATTAGAATTTCAAACTGTCCTTTACTAGATTTAGATATTTCAGATTTACACCAAAAACTCTCCACAAAAATTAACGACAAAACTTTTTTTTCCCATTTGTAAATTTTTCCATTTTTGTACGGTGATGTTCTTTTTGTACCGTCTTACGGTGTTTATACATCCCAACTCGTTCGTTTTGTCCGTGTCTGTAGTGACGTTTTGGATTTCAATGAGCGTAATCTATGAATTAAAGGTAAATTATTGAGTCAGAGATTTCGTTTCCACAAATTACTTAAAACCTTTACTAAATTATTCCATTGATACAAATATTTGGTTTGGACGTTTGGATGTACCAGTACAAATCTTATATCAAACTGAATAGCACATTCTTATTTTTACGGCAATGTTGTTTACCGACCCCTGAAATTTAGATACGATCCGGTTAAACTTATCAATCCTTTAAATAAACTTATTTTAAAGGTTACCAATTCCACACTGTACTTAGATCTTTGAATATTGTTTTTATTGGTATGAATATTGATTTTGTTATCAGTAAATTAAAAACATACTATTATTGTTATATGCATGTGCACATTCAGTGTACTACAATCTGTCGATATCTATGTTTTGGCATTGCACAAGGTCATGTTTTTTCTCTGACTGTTAATGACGTCTTTACACTAAATCCATTAGATATTGGATGTGTAGTGATTGATATTTTAGTCTTAGATACATGATTTTTTTATAAGTTGTTATAGGCTTTGAACTAGCTGTCAGGAATTGCAAGTTCTCTCAGATCTGTATGTACTTTGCGTCTTTGTTTTGTGTGTGAGGGATGTATATATACCCTGCCACGTCAAGCCGGTGTTTTTGTTGGATGTTTTTTCTGCTTTATGTCGATCTGATGAGTTGAGCCCTTTTCAACTGATTTTTTGTCCCCCGCGCAACCTGTTGCGAGAGGACATAGAAATACCGGGCGTCCGTCCGTTCGTCCGTCCGTCCGTCTGTCCGTCCGGTCTTGTTAGCGCTCTCACGTGTACAGCTCTTGCCAGAGTTTAATTAAGGTTATATCATAGCTTTATATCGGCATTGTGTCGGAAAAGTTCGATAATCAGTGTCAATTAATAATATTTAAAAAAGTTATGCTCCTTTGAAATATTAATTATATACAAAATTGTAATGTTAACGCTCTCATGTGTACAATTCTTGAAAGATTTTTATGAAACTTATATCATAGGTATATATCAGCAATGTTTCTGACAAATTCGAAAATTAGTGCCGAAGACCCATTTTCTAAAAGGGGTATGCCCCTTTGAAACATTAATTATATGGAAAATTGCATTGTTAGCGCTATCACATGTACAATTCTTGTCAGATTTTTTTTAAACTTATATCATAGGTTTATAAAAGCAATGTCTCGAAAATCAGTGCCGATCAATAATTATTAAAAGAGTTATGCCCCTTTGAAATATTAATTATATACAAAATTGCATTGTTAGCGCTCTAATGTGTACAATTCTTGCCAAAGATTTATGAAACTTATATCATAGGTTTATATCAGCAATGCCTTTGACACTTTCGAAAATCATTGCCGATAAAATATTTTTAAAAGAGTTATATGCCCCTTGGAAATATTAATTATATCTGAAGTTGCATTGCATTTGCTCTCAAGCCTTCATTTCAAGATATTTATAAAAAATTTAAAGAAATTTTTAGTTTTTGCTAATGACAGATGAAATATGTGCAACACGGGGGACATTGGAACTCTGTTCTTTTATAACGTTTGTTATTATGTTCTACTGTTACACTACTGTTCAAGGTTAGGTGGAGGGTTTGCGTCTCAAACATGTTTAATAACCCCACCATATTATATATGTGTCTTCCCAAGGCAGGAGCCTGTAAGTGGGTGGTTGTTGTTTATTGCTGTTTCTCATATTTGTTTTTCATTTATTGTTTTGTATATTTTGTTCTTGTGTGATGCCGTTACATCATTGTTCCATTGTCCCAGGATAGGGGGAGGGTTGTCACCTTCAAACATGTTTAACTCCGCTACATTCTTAATTTGCCTGCAGGAGCCTGAAGTTCAGTGCTTGTCGTTAGTTCTTGTCATATTTGTTTTTCTTAAATTGATTTTGTTATAAATTATGTTGTTTGTTTTCTCAATTGAATTCTTTCATATTATTCATGTTGGGGTCTTTTATAGCCAACTATACGGAATGGGGTTTTTCACATTGTTGAAGGCCGTACGGTGCCTATAATTGCTTACATCCACTTTATTTGAGCTTTGGTGCATAGTTGTCATACCACATCTACTTAAGTTTGCTTTGTAAGTCGGCTTCTTACCTCATTCCAAAAATTGTAGAACATTTTAAGAATAATAAATACTGCAAATGAATATTTATGTTTATTTTGAAGACCATATGGTTACCTTTAGATATAATTTTATTTGTTTATGGGTAGCTGTCATATTCAAACATATCACACATCTCCTTTCATTCATAAAAAAGATAGCTGATTACTTACTGCGATGACATGCTCGTTCATATTTTTAATTCAAATTGAATATCGAAATTGTGCGTTGGGATTTTGATTTTTACATCCCTGCCTGGAAGAGTGCTATACAGTGATACACATGTTTGTCCGTCCGTCCGTCTGGCACAAGTCTGGTGTCTGAATCTAAATGAGGTCAATTTCGATTTAAGTGATATTAACATTTATCGTTGAATAGTTACTTAGAAATGAAGAGATGTGGTATGATTGCCAATGAGACGACTAGTATCCACCCGAGTTAAAGTGACGAAGATATAATCAATGATAGGTCACCTTACGGTCTTCAACAATGCGAAAATCCATAGAGTATAGTCAGCTATAAAAGACTCCGGTATGCGAAATGTGAAACCCTAGATATAAACCGAAAAAGCTGTTATTGTATGTGCTGAACTGTCCGAGGTGTATGTATCAAATGATGAAATGTCAGTAGAATGAATAAATTTTACCTTACGTTAAATCCGGAGGAATTATTAGAAAAATGGTATTTAATATTTTAGCTATAAATTATATTTTTCCGGAATTAATTTTTTGTGATTAGTTAGACTTTCACTCACAAAATAAGCATTATCAAATCCTTCTGACTTTATTTGGTTTGTGAACGAGTCGGCGGAATCAAGACGAGGGTTTAAAATGAATGATTCCTACTGTGAAAATGCACCGCATATACAATAGAAATGAATCGCCCCTACAGTGAAAATGAAAGTACATGTATTGTATCATTATTCGATAGTAAACATGATTGGCATAATGAAAGCAGCATAGTGGAATTTAACTCAATATCAACAAACTGAATGACAAAACCTGTTTTAAGTTATAAAAAATTTGTGATTATGTTAAAAGGTATATTTTTCTGAAAATAAAACTTTCCTGCTGCTTATAAATCTCCTGCATGCTCTGTTCGTGAAATATTCTTAACATTTACCAATTTAAGTATTGATTTCACACTTGGATGGCTGTAAGTTGCGATATAATTCCGTCTGTATCTCTGAACTGTATCATGAATGTATCACAACAATACATTCTATATATTATTTCTTATTTTCAATATTCGTCTGTTTAAGTATCATTCTACATCAGAAATGCATGTGATGTAGTTTATAGTTGGATGTTTCTGATATACGTTAACTATGTTTTCTTTAGATTTCAAAGGTTGCATTGCCAGCTATGTTATTTAATAATCATCTTGAAATTCTTAGATATTAATTTCTTTGTTTACTTAGCTACGGTATATGGAAATGGTGTATACTTTGCAAGAGACGCAGCATATTCCGCTAGAGGTACATATTCGCCAAAGGACCATAACAACCAAAGGCATATGTACATGTGTAAAGTCTTAACTGGCGAATACACCCAAGGGAAACAAGGACTGATCGTACCACCGCCAAAAGGAACAAGTCACATTTTGCATGACTGTGTAGTTGATAATCCTGCAGATCCGGCAATATTTGTCATTTTCCACGATACACAAGCATATCCTGAATATTTAGTTCTATTCGAAGGATAACTTTTAGGTCACATTTTAAGAAGTAATATACCATCAATTATGTTTTAATCAAACATACATAACTACTTGTACTCTGTAAATATATTTTTAAAGGACGACACAAGTAGTATAATTCCTATTAAAATTGGGCCAAGTTAACGGTATCTACCTTTTCTGTTTTGTTGTTTCTAGTACAGTTAGAGAAATATTGCATTTTACAAATGTGTGTTTTTTTGGTTTTTTTTTACTTTTTTATTTTTTCATTACTTTGTTTTTGTATGGAAATTACAGAATTGAATATACAAAAAACCAGGTTGCTTGTAAATTATTTCACATAATTCTAGTGTTGATCTGCATAGATTTATAGGTGAATTCTGTTTGGAGATATTTTCCTTTAAGTTAGACATATACTAGTTAGTACCATCAACAAATATTTTGAAGAACGTTTTACATGTTAATTCCAAAGTAAAAAAAAAAATACTTTAAAATCATATTCAACTTTAATTTGGAAAAGAATGTGTCGTTTACCGAAAAACATCTCTAATATTTGTTTGTTGTAAGGACTTTCATCAAGATAGGATAATTAGTGTAATTAGGAATTTAAAAAAAGGGCTGAAAGGGCATACGAAGAAACTGTTTTATAAAAAATATGAAAATTTTGAAAATTGTCATTTTATCACTTAAAAATATTTAATCGTTCAAAGTTTTTATAAATCATATTAACTTTTAAAGGGAGTTTTTGTCTTGTTAAAGTTAAAGCAATTTTTATTATCCGTGCATGGTGGTTAAGTTATATAGAAATTTAGAATAGTTTTCATACATTTTGACCATGATATGAATAATAAATTATAATTTTCCTTAAAATTAGTTAGGCAAACAATGTTAATGTAAAACTCTTTGCACACTATTTTTTTTTATAATCCAATAACTCAATCTGGTAGAACAAAGTTTTCCAATCATTATTTTGTATTATTATTTAACCGTAATACTAGAAAATATTTGACGTCACAGACGAAAAGTGATTGTTTTTCGCAAATATCATTCGGTTAATCGGCGGAAAAATGATTCAGTCGGAATAAAAACGAAACTGGAGTATGCTAAATGCCGATATTTGAACAGCCCGATATCCGTATTTTTCGGTATATCATTTTTATTGCAATGCATTACGATAGGCATCGATATAGAAATGGAATTATTTTATCTGTATATTACTGAGTAATTCATTGTATGCGTGATTTACATTGTCTGTAAATTGTTCAAAGCATAATTCGATTTACGCTACGAACAGTAATGACATAAACGGAATTATTTTGAAGGCGGATTAACCAAACTGTTAAAATGCCTGTACCATGTCAGGAATATGACAGTTGTTTTCCATTCGTTCAATGTGTTTGAGCCTTTGATAGGGACTTTCCGTTTTGAATTTTCCTTAGAGTTCGGTAATTTTTTAATTTTTTTTATTGTACTTGTATTTCGAAGCATAAAAGGTAAAATTAAATGTAATCCCTCATTTTAAGGATTTTTCCTTTATAAATACAAAGATATAGAAAATCTATCAAAAACTTTTGTCAAAATTTTGTATTTTAGGTGACGGCAATGATTAATCTTGAGATTTTCGATTATGGTGTTTCAAGTTACAATCTTGTTTTCCCTCTTCAAATACACATTCGTTCCAAATGGAATTATTTTAGCTTAAATAAAGCTCTTATGTAGTGTGTCCTTCGTTTCAAAATCTAGCCACGAATAAACATACATATAGAACTGTTTCAATTTATTAGTAATATATGACTTTCAGAAAAGTATTAAAGCAGGTTATCATTTCAAATCCGAAATACAAGTTGTTTCTTTCATCATTCTAGTTTATTTGATACTGTTATTATCATTATATATTCAAGTGATTTTATTCTGTATTTTCGCTAGGACGTTTTATGTTGATTTTTGAATGTCGTATTTACTTGTTGAGGGTTTAAAGTATTATCGTATTTGAAGAAATGTGGTTATTTGAGGGTAGAGGGTTCTGAAAATACTGTTACATTGAATTTCCAAGCTTCTGAATAGGGACCAAGACTGAAAACCAAAGTGTGTTTTGCTTTGTGCTTTGTAGAAATACAAGGTCATGGCAGACCTGACCGAAAGTATGAGCTTACTGCCAATTAACGGTAATATCAACTGACAGAGTGATTGAATCACATCTTTAAAATTTATAGCATTGTACAGAAACTTTCTATCAACAAACTGTACCAGACCTTGGATTTGAAAATCGATTAAAATTTAAATGTCTTAGCCCTTTGCAAATCTGCTTGAAGTCAAGACTTGGAGTTTTATTTCAAATATAGCGTATAGCTTACTTCTTTGTTTATTGCTCGGATATGTTTATTTCCTTTCATTTTGATTGCCTTTGTGAGTTTTCACGTTACACATTCCGGCTCCAACGAAATATTGTTTTAGTACATACATAGCACCGTGCATTTATATTGCATCCTCCTCAATATGCAATATTTGCCACAGAAGTTAAGGATTCAATGATTTCATATGTCATAAAAACTTAATCTTCATGCAAATATTCGTCTTATTGATAAAAGAGAATAAAATATAATTGATAATGACGATGATTATTATGATGACGAATTGGTGTTTAACATCCAGTGGCAAATACTACATGCATATCAGGACGATGAATATAAATCCTGCTCTATTTCTAGCTGACTTATTTATATGTGATTTCCAACTTAAATATTCATTCAATTTAATCAAAAAAGATGACAAGAGCAATTGTATGAATAATTTACATAATGTTAGTACAATTCAAACTGATATTGTGATTGTTTTGATGTCACGTTATGTCAGTTACTTTCCTTATTACTCTAGAAACATATTGAAATACAACGAATTATTATAAAGTGTGTAATTCAAACTAATATTGTGATTCACTAGTTTAGAGTGTGTAATTCAAACTAATATTGTGATTCACTAGTTTAGAGTATGTAATTCAAACTAATATTGTGTTATTCAAACTAGTATTGTGATCGACTAGTTTAGAGTGTGTAATTCAAACTATTATTGTGATCGACTAGTTTAGAGTGTGTAATTCAAACTATTATTGTGATCGACTAGTTTAGAGTGTGTAATTCAAACTAATATTGTGATTCACTAGTTTAGAGTATGTAATTCAAACTAATATTGTGTTATTCAAACTAGTATTGTGATCGACTAGTTTAGAGTGTGTAATTCAAACTATTATTGTGATCGACTAGTTTAGAGTGTGTAATTCAAAGTATTATTGTGATCGACTAGTTTAGAGTGTGTAATTCAAACTTTTATTGTGATCGACTAGTTTAGAGTGTGTAATTCAAACTATTATTGTGATTGACTAGTTTAGAGTGTGTATTTCAAACTATTATTGTGATTGACTAGTTTAGAGTGTGTAATTCAAACTATTATTGTGATCGACTATGTAATTCAAACTACTATTGTGATCGACTAGTTTAGAGTGTGTAATTCAAACTATTATTGTGATTGACTAGTTTAGAGTGTGTAATTCAAACTATTATTGTGATAGACTAGTTTAGAGTGTGTAATTCAAACTATTATTGTGATTGAATAATTTAGAGTGCGCAATTCAACCTATTATTCTGATTAACTAATTTAGAGTGTTTAATTCAAACTAATATAAAATTTGTGATTAACTAGTTAATAGACTGTATTTCAAACTGATATTGTGATTGAATAATTTAGAGTTTGTATTTCAAACTATTATTGTGATTGAATAATATATAGTGTGTAATTCAAACTATTATTGTGATTAACTAATTTAGAATGTTTAAATCCGTGTGCGCCAATTTGCGTCTTTTTGCTACACAACTCATTTGCGTCACTAGTTTTTAAAATACATAGTACCATTTGCGCCAACAAAAATACAGTTTTTATCTTTATTTGATACGATTTGAACTCCATGTAAAATCCTTAAAACTCTTATTGACTTTTTGCCTGAGCTGTGAATAGTTTCCTTCTTTTTCTAAAAATGGGTTGTTCGATACATTTCAAATAATTTCTTTCCAAGTCATCCTTTTCAATTTGTAATAACTCCAAACATATGATCTGACTTATACATTTTTTTATGTATACTCACCTTTTTTTTATTTTTCTAAACAACAATGGTCCCATTTATTTCATGAATGATACTTTTAAGGTACTTTAATTTATCTATGAATTATATTTATGATAGTAATGTGTATAGGTAAAATGGCGCATATGAATTCCGTGTATTGGCGCAATTGATACCTTAAAAAACTAATATTTGGCGTAAATGATACATCACAAAAAAAAAAACAAACAAAAAAATAATTAACGCAAAAGGGCAGCTGTCAATTCAAACTTATATATATATTATGATTAAATAATTTAGATTTTGTAATTTAAACTAATATTGTGATTAAATAATTCAAAATAACAATTGTCTAAATTTATTTTAATTGTTTACATAATTATCTAACGAAAATGTCGATAGAATCTTGAATAAAATTATCATCAAGAAGGCTACAGGAGCTGATGGTATTCCAGCAAAAATAGTAAAAAATTGTAAATCTTATATTGCACCACAGCTGACAACTCTTGTAAATTTGTCAATTAAAAATAACTGTTTCCCTGATAAACTAAAAAAAGCCCACGTGACCCCCCTTCATAAAAAGAGTGACCCATTATTAAAAACAAACTATAGACCAGTTAGTGTCTTACCCATGTTTTCTAAAATCTTTGAAAAATATATGAAATTCAACTAACTGTATACTTAGCTAAAAAATTTAATCCTTTTTTGTGTGCATTTAGACGTGGACATGGATGTCAGACCACACTTCTCAGAGTGTTAGAAGATTGGTGTGAAGCTCTTGATAAAAACCAGTGCATTGCAGAGGTATTAATGGATCTTTCTAAGGCTTTTGACTGCCTACCGCACAATATCTTGCTAGATAAATTATCAGCATATGGTGTATCCCCCCATTCAGTTGCTCTTTTAAAGTCCTATTTATCTGATCGTAAACAACAAATAAAAGTCAACAATGTTCTGAGTGGTTGGGCTGACATCCATAGAGGCGTACCACAGGGTTCTATACTAGGGCCATTGTTGTTTAACGTATTTATAAATGATATTTTTCTTTTTGTTAAAAATGGTAGTTTATATAACTATCCAGATGACAATACTTTGTCTTTCTGTACTCCAGATTTTTATTTATTAATTTCAACTTTGGAATCTGAGTAAAAAATACTTATTGAGTGGTTGCGGTGAATAAAATGCAAGCAAATCCCGACAAGTTTCAAGTTTTGGCTGTTGGCAAAAAGACCTTTGAAAAAAAACCATCTAGACATATTCAAAATCCGAAGCTTACATGTGAAAAAACAGTAAAATTATTAGGCATTGAAATTGACTATCAGCTAAATTTTTATGTTCATATCAGCTTAATCTGCAGGAGAGCCTCACAGCAATTAAATGTTTTAAAACGTTTGGGCTCTGTTTTGGATAGACTTAGTAAACTTACTATTTTTCATAGTTTTATTCTGAGTAATTTTAATTTTTGCCCTTTGGCATGGCATTTTTGCACTGAGAGAAATTCCAAAAAACTAGAAAAGGTGTAGGAAAGAGCACTCCGTTTTGTAAACGAGGATTTAAGCAGCTCCTACGAGGACCTCTTACATAAAGCTAAGGTGCCCTCCTTGCATATCAGACGGATGAGAACAATGGCTCTAGAAACTTTCAAGATTATGAACAATATAGCTCATGTGTGCTTACAAAATTTGGTGAGTGTAAAAAAAATCTTAGTATTCTTTCAGGTATGTAAATATTCTGGATGTTCCACAGGTAAAATCAACCCGTTACGGTAAAAAATCTTTCAAATTTGCTGCCGCAACTTTATGGAACAGCCTTCCAAACCATTTCAGGACTGAAAATAGTTTTTCACATTTTAAAAGTCTTTTTCAGTCCTGGAACGGTTTGGAATGTCGCTGTTCTGCTTGCAGATAATTCTTGAGCTTTTTATTATTTATGTTGCTTTGGACTAGTGTTCATGTATTTCTTCACGAATTTTTATATATTAAAATTTTAATTTCTGACACAGATTTCCAGAAATTGGGTAATCAATTCATGTTGAAAATATTCTGTTCTTTGAAATTTCTAGATCTCAAAGCATATATTATAGTTCTAAACTTTTTTATTTGATTTTTATAAAAGTAATCTATTTATTTAAATATTTACCATTTTTTTAATCTAAATTTTAAACTTTTATATAGGTAAACAATGTTTTACTTCATTCTAAACCTGTTGCTTAATTTTTATTGCATGCTATGTGTGTGAGATTCAATTTTGTATTGCAGGTTGTTTATATCTTAGACTGCTTTATGTTATGTATATGTTTATATTCGGTCAAAAACTCCTTAGAGCTTGTGTTGTATATTTAACTCATGCCGAATCAAAATAAATTTTTCTTATCTTATCTTTGTAAATACTTATGGTCCATTAGTGCTATTAACTATTATGGTAAAGATTGACACATCAGTATTTATACAGTTTGACAAAAGTTTATGATAATATGCCTTTTTTAAAAAGGGAAACATTATATTCACTAAGAAAAAAATCGAATGAATAGACATTTATCCTATCATCTCCGAGCAGTTCAGGTTACAAAATATCTTTGCTTCACGTAATGAAAGTTAACGATGAACTATCAATAAATCAAGAATAAAATATACATCTATATATAGTTCAAATAACCGTGTTTACTTTCAAACTTAGTTAACAAGGTTTATGATGTGAAAGGTGAACAGTAAAAGAAATTAACAGGCAAACAGAAAGACAGATTTCTTCTGAATTGACATAAATCTTACATTGCTTTTATTGTTTGTGGTGTGCAGTAGCTTGTTGTTAAATAATGAGTATAGCAATTGAATATGAAAAAAAGGTTTTTCTCAACCCTCTCCCAGATTAAGTGTGTCGCTTCAGCCTTTGATCATGAATTCTAATTTGAAGTTGATTTTGGATTAAAAAAAGGAGAACACACGTGATCAATGATGTCAAAACAAAAATAAAAGGATGATGTATGATTGTCAATGAGACAACGCTCCACCAGGGTCCAAACGACGTAGAGGCAACTATAGGCCACCATATGTTTTGTCGAGTTGCATGAAGCGTTGTTAATGAAAAAAATACATACTTCTGAATCGTTTGCAGAATTAAGTTTCTGGAAATACATGTAAATGGTCTCAATTATGTCATTGACGCAAGAATCAAGTTTCGTGACTCTTTCAAATTTGAATACAAATAACGAGCGAAAATATCTAGATTGTTATATTGCCGTCGAAGCTTAGATAAATCGATGTTTCTGTTTTCATTGCAGTTCAGAATGAATACAAATATTACCTGGTGTAAGATGGATGAATAAAGCTCCAGAAAAATATGTCTCTTATTGTAAAATTTAATCCCATCCCACACAAAATGAGGGGTATATTGGTTTTCCTCAGTACGTGTGAACATTTTTGTCGCTTTGCTACTAACTATAAACCAGAGCTTCTGGATATTTAGTACACAGATTCATATTTGTAAGCTAACCTGTGTAACACATTTTCACATCCGTCACTTATCTGCATCCTGCGCCACTTGTATACAAATTCTTCATATTTAAAAAAGTATAAGTAAAAACAGTTGTGGGTTTTTAAATCGGACTACAAATTAGAGCTTCGTGTAAATTGCTGTTTTCTGATCCGTCACTTGTTTACTTCATATTTGCTACATACATGTATGCTATTTACATCGATTCAAATATAAGATGTGTTTTGCATTTTTCTCAACACTACACATCATGACGTCTTGGGTTGATATCTGGTTTAAAGTTGTATATTGGTAAGCTTAACCGTGATCTTATCTACTTTACTCTTTACTTCCTCATTATTTGGTAAATGAATTTCTTTTCACTGAACATCAAGAGATGTTCACACTATCTTGTGTTCACTGCAGTTCTTAAAATTGACTACATTGCAACTAAGTTCATCAAGTTGTATGCATGAAATTACTGAAATCTCCACTTAACTAAGGAAATGTTAATATATAAATAACACATAGCTGAGAGGGTGATAGAGCAGAGTGTTACCCCGAGAAAACATTGTCAACTGAGGCGAAGCCAAGGTTGACAATGTCTTTTCGAGGGGTAACAATCTGCTCTATCACCCTCTCAGATATGTGTTATTTAATTTATTATACTGAACGTTCTGTTATAACTGTCTATTAAATTTCAAATTCAAAGTAATAAACTATGTTGTCTTGTACATATTAATCATCCGTATTTATTAAAGCGCACACTTGAGCAAGCGTCTCCGTAAAGGGTAATAGAGTATTTGCCATGGGATAGAGTAAATTGTCTCCCTCGTATTAACCAATCAAAATCTGGCATTTTGACATGAAGTATAATAAATCTTATTATCGTTTGATATTTGTAATCTCATCACATTTACTCATATCGTGAAAAAATTTGTTTTTGATTATTTATTGCATACTTACACTACAAACCAGTAAAAGTCTGAAATGGCCTATATCTCTACTCGACTGTACTGATTTTTACTCGACCAGTCTAAATTGGTCTGAAATTTACTTGATAATACTCGACTGTAGTCAGAACCATACTTAACAGTCTGAACTTGTACTCGACCCTTACTCGACCAGTACTTAACCATTTTATACGCGTCTGAACCATGCTCGATCTAGTCTGAACCATGCCCGACCTAGTCTGAACCATACTCGACCTAGTCTGAACTATACTCGACCTAGTTTGAACCATACTCGACCAAGTCTTAACCAACCTAGACCTATTTTTTGTATCTATCTATTGTATTTCATCAATTTAGGAACTGTTTTTAACAACAGTTATTTCCCCTGGCTAGAAATTTGAACAACAATTTGAAATTAAAAATGTATTCAATATAGCATTGAAACCAAAATTTCACAATAAACATAATATAACTTCATCACCATATTCATAAACACTTATATACATACATATATATCACCTTTAAAATTAAAATAAAACAAGCTGATCAAATAATCTCAAAACTGAATTGTGACTAATATTTTCAATGTTATTCAAAATTTTTTGAATGTTTCAGATATATTTTATGGTTCCTGGACAATTTTCACCATTAACTTAAGCCTTGTATAGATTTATGGTGTCAGTTGAGTTTAGTTAATAATGCAGTGAACATTTTTTTTATTAAAATATATATAAAATAGCATATAAACCAACTTAATAAATTTAAATAATGACACCTTTGTTTTGTTAAACCAAGAATTTAATATAATCATGATAATACAACTTCCATAGTAATCCTGTGATAAACTTTTAAAAAAGGAAATGTGTTCCAAAGTTACAGTAAAAATTTATTTCAATTAAATTTAAATAATTTTTGTCAAAATTAAAGACATGGCATACAAGAAGCACTCAAATAAGGTTTAATTACCTCAGTACATGTGTGTTTTACAGGTAAAAAGAAAGCCCTATTTTTCTTAAACGCGTGTATTACTTACCTAGTGAATTCAAAAGGCCTTGCGATTTAAGTTTCACAGGATGTTGCAATTTTTAATGAATGTTATTTAGAATTTAATACTCTCTGACCAGGTGTGATCTTTATCATGAGTTTGCCCCAAGCAGGAGGTATTACTTTATACTTCACCACTTATCAGAAGAACAATTTTATTAATTTCTTAAATTTTTATCCCTTTTTGATATGTATTGTATATAATATATCCCAAATTATAATAATAGATATATTTCTAAAATAAGGTTAAACAATTTCAGTGATTTTGTTGGCTGTTGTTACCTCATTAAAAAGATAATTATATAACTATTGTACATTTTGTGTATGTAACCATGAAACCTATGTCGTTTTTATTTAGGAATTTAGGAAAATTTAAAAAAAAAACACATGCCAAACAAGAAGCACCTTAATAAGGTTTAATTACCCTCAGTATAGGTGTGTTTATAGGTAAAAGAAAATCTTTTTTTAACAAAATTCTAAAACTTTAAAATTAATATAATTAAATTATTATATAAGATAATTTGATTTAACTATCTCTATTCGATAAATCTGAGAATCATGTAAGAATTTAAAAATCTGTTTTTATAATATATCTTTATTTTATTGTGGCAGTTGTCATGTCAGTTAAAAAGAAATTTATTTTAACAGTTAAAATTTAGAAAAAGTAGAGGTTATTTGGTCAAGTATGGTTCAGACTGGTCGAGTATTGTTCAGACCTTTGGTCGAGTATGGCTTAGACTGAAAAAAATAGGTCGAGTACAGGTCGAGAATGGGTTAAGACTGTTTCAGACTGGTCGAGTAATAGTTCAGACTATTTTCAATGGCAAAGATAAGGGTCAAGTACAAATCAGTACAGTCGAGTATGGTTACAAATGTAAGACTGGGGTCGAGTAAGGTTGAGTAAAATTCAGACCAATTCAGACTGGTCGAGTAAAAATCAGTACAGTCGAATACAGATATAGGCCATTTCAGACTTTTACTGGTTTGTAGTGTTATATAACGAAGGGTTAATGTGGTGGTGTGTAATTGAATGGCTATATATACTTAAAATATAATCACCTGATGCAGAGATTACTGGAAAAAATATGATTTCCATATATATTTCCAAGCAGTTTCTTTGTCATATGGCCTTAACTTCAACCGACAATTGCTCGACCAGAACGGAACTTTAACTTTGTCTGTAACTTATAACATGATTGTATACCAAATAACTAATCTTTTGATTCGGCATTACAGACAACGGATATTTTAAACATTTCGTACGTCCAAGAGCTACAATTTGCTCCCAGAAACAAGATTGCGCAACCGGGACGTTACTCGAATTAAATCTTTTTGACTTCTAACTATTATTTCATAACAAATATCTGATGGATAGATTAAAACATTACAAACAAAAGATTGGAAACTTTATCATGGAATAGAAGTTCCTTTATAATATTAGTTCCAAAAGTAAATTTGGAATATTATTTCACGAGGAAGTGATGTAACATTACTTTTTCCTGACGGAATATTGGGTACAGAATATTTGTTCCAACGGGAGCAGATATTATACCATAATGATTGTTCATAACAAAATTCCCTGAGGAACGTCTGTTAGGAGGAACAAATATACGTTGCAAACTGAAATGTAATTGACGGAGTGTGTTAATGCTATTTATCTTTTGTATTACATTGATCGATATTAAAAAGGACATGCTCAAATTATTTAAAGCTAAATTAACCCTTCTACGTGTGCAAGTGCATATTTCCGTTTCAAGTACAAAACCACGTTTTACTTAGTGTTTTGTTTTTACTTCTTATATATTAATGTTTTTGTTCTAAAGAGACTTTGGTGATGATTGCAGTTTTTGTTTTTATAGATGTTGCATTTTTAACATATTTCTATTGTTAAAATACAAATAAAAAATGGCTG